TACTGGCCCGGCAGGCAGGCCCCCCCGCACAGGGACGGCACCTGCACATCGGCCCCGAGGAATACCAGCCCCGGCTGGCAGGACAGGCAGCTGGAGGCGTCCTCACACTCGGCGCATGACCCATGGCATGCCGTGCAAAGCCCGCCAGGGGCCAGGAAATGCTGGGCCACGCAGCCTGTGCACGAGTCGCCGGACTGGCAGCTGTCACAGAGGACCGGGCAGGCTCGGCATGTGTTGACATCCGTCCAGGTCCCGGCCGGGCACTGGCTGAGACACATCCCGTTGAAGAGGGCCATTCCCGGTTGGCAGGCAGAGCAGGCTCCGGAGTCGGCCGGACGATCGCACTCGGTGCATGTCTCGTGGCAGGCACCACACCCGCTGCCTGCCGTGCCAGGCGGGCACAGCAATGCCAAGGACAAAGACACCGGCCCGGTTTCCATGCTGAAAGTCAGCAAGTCCAGCACAATACCCGCGGGCAGGGCGCCCGAGTCCTGGCTGGCCAGGCCGGCGCCCGGCTTCACCACGGCCTGCAGCCAAGTTCGTGTCCCCTGCGGGGGGCTGTACTCCGGCGGAAGGACCGCGAAGGTGGCCGGCAGCAGGACACACGACCCGGTAGCACCGCCGGGACAGTGCAACAACGACACCCCGACAAAGGTGCGCGTTATCAGCAGCAAGGCACTGGGATAGGTGGAGCTGCCGGACGTGAGCTCCACGCCCTGAAGGACGATATTCAAGATGCCCTGGTTGTTGGGAGGCAGGTCCCTCGGGAAGGACCCGAGCGCATGGCGCTGAGATGCCAAATCCACCGACCGGCCAGACGGCAACATGTCCCCCGGGGACCGGATAATGTGCCACTCAGTACCGGCCACCTGGACAAAGACCAACTCCACCAAACCGGACCCCCGGCCGCGGGGAATGGTCACCGGCATATATGAGTTGCCGGTGTTCGGCAAGCTCGACATGAAGAGCCCAGCCAGCGCATTCATGCGCGGGTCATTGTTCAGGAGGGACAACGGCACGGCCGTGGCCTTTGTCAGCTGGGTGGTCCACACGAGCCAGTCCCCGAAGTCAGGTCGGGCTCGAGTACCGGCCTCCACTTTGGCCGGCAGGCTGACGGCCCCGGTGGCCGGCAGAAGCAAGAACCGGGCCTCCTCGGCCGGCGGATCGACCCGGATGACAGTCATCTCATCGTGGCCGATGGGCATGATGGCGCTTGTGGAGCTCAAACGCCGCGCCTGGGAGTACCCCCCGCCTGGGACACTTTGAGATGCCCGACTGGAGGGCACGCACGGGGCAACCGGGCCCGAACACTTCAGCGACACGATCTGCGACGCGCCAGATGCCCCACACAAAGCCACCATGTACACGACCGATCCACCGAACACAAAGGGGCCGAGCTCGGCAAAGCCAATCGTCGGCGCGGCCGGATGTGGGTCCAGCAGGGAAACCGGCCGAAAGGTCGGCTGCCCGGGCTGGCCGACGTCGCTCGCGGCCATGATATAGGTCCTGCGCTGCTCCGTGAACAGCAGCACCCGCGGCCCGGGGCCACGGACGTCATCGACGGCCGGGATGACCGGCTGCCCGGTGTGCGTGTCCACCGACAGCCAGCTCTCCCCCAGGGCCGTGATCCGGTCGCCGGGATCCAGTCCAAGAAAGGCGAAGGGAGCCGGCAGGGCCCAATGGATGTTCGGCAGGGGGGGGCTGCTGGGCCGACAGACCCCGGCCACCAGGCTAAACCCAGGCGAGCAGCTGGACACACAGGTGGTGGCACCACCTGCGGCGCTGGGGATCTGTGGGTGGAAGTTGAAATGACACAGGAGACACCCCTCCGCATTGCAGGATAGGCAATTCGCCTGGGGACAGCGCTTGCATTGGTGGCCCGGCCGAGAGAAGGGCGCCTCATCTGGGTCGGCAGTGAAAGGACATGAGGGAGCAGGAGGAAGCCAGGTCAATCAACAAGGAAGCACACAAGGCAGGACCAAGACAAGAACCCCGGCCAGGGGGGAGGACATACCGGCCGGTCGGTCCAGGAAAAAGCCATCCGCCCCCCCGCCACACAGAAGCCCGTCGGCCATGTATGGCGAGCCGACATGGCCCGGGGCACATGCCCAGCCTTTCGAGTGGCTATTGTAGCCCGTGCTGCTCGGGCAGATGATGGTGCTGTCGGTGTGGCACCCGAAGTCCTCCGACATGTAGAGCACCCTCGAGCCATGCACCAGAGTCCATATCCCGGGCTCGGCGTCGGGGCCGCTGTACAACCGAGCCAAGGACAACTTTTCCAGCTTGAGAATGGACAACGGCAACATCACCCGATTCCACGTCAGGGCTCCCTGTTGCACATGGGACTGCCAAAGCCTATCCGAGGAAGTCGATGCATTGGCAATCACCAGGTAGAAGGGCGTGACGCCATTGGCCACGGCGGCGGCCGGCGCCGCCAGAAGCTGAACGTTCGACGGATCCGCCGCGATGGGCATGTCTCCCACGATCGGCTCCATGTACGGCACACCGCCAAAGCAGGGCTCCAGGAGGATCTTGCCATTGTCCAGCAGGAGCACCACATCGGCTCGGAAGGGACACAGGCTGTCGGTGGAGACGACTCGTGTGGTGACCATGCCCAGGACATTGGCGGGGAATTCCTGCTGATAGGACGACACGCTATCCGCCCCGTCCAGGTGCATATAGCGAATTTGCGACCCATGGGCCATGTAGAGGGAGGAGCCGCCTCCAGGAGCGCCCAAGGCCGGGCCCATCACATCGCCAATATTGGCACCCAAGTCCACCAGACCAGCTGCCGTGAGTTTGGCCAAGAAAATCGATCGCCCCTGATCCGAAGGCCCGACCAGCCCCAGGAGAAGGACATCGCCATTGGGCAAGGCCGTGCCGGTCAGGATGTCGGTCATCGGGCTGGGGAAGGGATGCGCGACGGCCGAGGTGAAGAACTTGACTGTGCTCGGGGTGGTCTCCACCATGAGGGGCAACAAATTGTTGCCCTGAGGGAGGATCAAGAGGGACGCGGCACTCGGGTCGCCGGGCCCCTCGCGGATCGCGGTCCGCGTCGAATCCAGGAAGAAAGCCCCCCAGCGGAACTCGTTGACGCTGCTTTGAAAGTTCTCCTGCGTCATGGTGGTGATTTTGGTGGTGCCCACCCGACGGTGACCCATGGAGGGAGACCCGGGCCCAGTGGAAAAGGAATCCGGCAGGAACCCCTGCGTGAAAGGGTACCGGGCCTCGCGCAGGAGGATCGTCTCGCCTCGCGATGTGGTGGCCACCAGGAGCAGGAGCAACACCAGCGGGAAGAGCATTAAGGGTCTCGGGCAGGGGGCTGGCCCAATCGGAGGCCGGCGCAGGGCCCGGCCACCGGTCATCGGCGAAGCCATCAACTCGGCGGCTTGGCCGAAGCAATGTCACTTGGGGGGGGGGGGGGGGGGAAGAGAGGGAGAGAGAGAGGAAAGAGGGGGCAAAAGGAATGGAGTATGGGAGACCCTTTGGAAGAGGCGCCAAGCACAGGGCCCAAGTGGTTGCTATTGTTCCGGTCCACGCTAAATCGCGGTCTTCCTGCCTCCAGGGCAACGGGGCATTGGTGGCTTCGGGTTTTCAGCATATATGCCCTCTGTCGCCGGGATTGCGCGTTCCCCCGCAGAGACCGCGAGATAGAGGCGGGAGGAGGGGCACACCGCCACGGGGTAGGGATGGAAAGAAGCCCCGCCAGGTGATGAGACCGCGGGGGGCCTGCGGGCGGATCCAAGAGGGCGTGTTGATTGCTCGGCGAAACGCACCCACCTTCACGGACCCCAATCGCGCACAAGAACCAACCGGGGACTTGGCACACCGGTCCGACCACAGGGGGCAGGGGGCTCACAGGACCTTGGCAGTTAGGCTGCCAGGACAAGCAACCGGTGCCGCCCTCCCTCCACGGCCAAGGCCACACATCCTCATCAAACGTGCACATGAACGCGCACACACACACACACACACACACACACACACACACACACAACATACACACACACAAAACGGCGCAGGCAGACAGGGGGGGCCTGCCAGTTAGTTGGCAGCTTCGAGATCGGAGCTAGCCGATGGATGATCTGGCTCCGACGCCCAGAGGCTCCATCCACTTGCCGGACCACATGGGGGCGGCCAGCGGTGGTAATATTTTTTGCTCTTCTCGGACGCATTTTTCACGCCAGGGCAGACCGCAGACCTCGGGCTTCTCCAGCCCAGCCTCGGGGTCGGGGTACCCATGTATCACAATCGTCTGCCTGACCGGTGCCCCTGAAGGTGCAGCGTAGTAATAACAACTTCCAGCGTCAGGGTGATGGGTCTTGCTGTTGTTGGAATGAATAGTGGCACCATTCGAGGCTGAATCACGAACAGCCCAGCCCCCGTGCTAAAGAATGGAGCCCCTGAGAGGGTGGACAAAGGCACATGATGCCCTTGCCACCGGCTTCGCCCTTTTGGCCACAACCAAGCACCCCTGTGCGGGCGCCGCGGGCCTGACGAGCATCCAGGGCAAGCGATGGGACGGGGCCCGGACTGAAACACGACCATGACTCGTGGCCGTGCTAGCCCGCCTGGCCGCCTGGACCCCGGGCGCCCCGGACGCGGGGGCCTTTTTATTGCGGCCCGGGCCCCGGACCTGACCGGGCGCATGTTGTCCGCCCGGCCCCCTTTCACACAGGCTTCGATCAATTGCGTCAGGACCGAAAGGAATCACATCAGCCATTCATCGCGCACTTCGGGACCCGAAGGCCATGCCCTAGCCGGACCCCCTAACTCTCTTGACATTGCCCGGGCCCAGGGAGCCGGCATTGCCGGTCCATTCGCTTCGGAGTCACAAATGCCCCCGCCCTCTTGTTCCCTTGCCTGTCCACCCGCCCCCGGGTCCGTCGCCACGGCTCGCCGTGCGCAGCCTCCTGCCCGGTTGCCAGGAAGGATGGGCCGGTGCCGGCCGAAGGATATTTAAAAGCCAGCAGGTCCCCGGAGGGACATGCACAACAGCTCACGATGGGCCCTCCCCCGGTCGATCGTCCTCAATCCTCCCCCCTGCCCTTCCCCCGCGATACTGCTCGCGCTTCCCCTGCAAGCCCGGGCGTCCCTCCGGATTCAGGGCCACCTGAGCCTCGTCCCCATCGGGCGAGGGCAGTGACCCTTTTGTGCATGCCTCGCTCGGCTACTCCCAGAGGCCACTCGCTAGCGCAAGCCTGTGGGCTTGCTGCCGCAGCTCCGCCCATGCTTCGACGTTTACTGGAGACCTACATATGCCTGAGTTCCACATAGCTGGCCGCCGCCGGGCAGAGGGCCGGGGCGGGGGGACGGGGAGGGTGATTCATGGCCATTGGAGAGAGAGAGAGAGAGAGAGAGAGAGAGAGAGAGAGAGAGAGACTCGGAGCCGGTCGGCGCCCAGCCCACGTGTGAAATTTCCAGGCCGGGAGGCCAGGCAAATCCTCGGGGGCATCTGGCCCGCCGCACTTGGCAGGGGCACCCAAAACACGCGCCTAGGACACGAGGACCATTTGGAGGGAGAGATCTCGCCGCCGGGCACAACACCATCGCCCGGGCGCCGCGCATGGTCTCGGGCCTAAGAGATGCCTTCATACATGAGCCGCCGGGGACGCATGCTCCAGCACTGTCGAGGGTCCACGTCGGAGCACACCTTGTGGTCGGATTGTCTATTTTCCTTGGACATCACGAAGGCAAGGAGGCAAAAATAGCAGCACCATTCGGGGCAGGCCCAGGTCAGTGTATGGCCCCGGAAGCCCATGCTCCCCAGTGGGGGGGGGGGGAGGGGGGGCGCCAACTGCTGGCCCGAAGGCGAGAAACCCAAAAAAAAAGGACCACCCTCGGCACTGGGCCGCCGCCCCCGGCAAGAGGTTCTTGGTCACTGTAGAACCGGATACAGGGGCACCTGCTAGATGATATGCTCCGGGCCGTAGCACGCTCCGAGTACCATGACTGTGACTCGATCGCGGGCAGTTCCTGGCGCGGCGCGCAGGGCAACGAAAGCCGCCGCCATGGGCCCCGACAGCATATCAGGCCTCGCGAAGCTCGCGGCAGCCCACAACCATCGCGGCAGCCCACAACCATCGCGGCAGCCAGCCTCGTCGGTCTCCGCCACCCGGAGACACGTGCACTTGGCGGCAGGGGGAAGACCCGATCAAGAGGTGTCCAAGCCACCGGCCACCACGAACAGGGCCGCACATCGTTGGCGGAAGACGGCCGCCGAGGGTCGCCGAGAGGGGTTCTCCTGCCAGGCCGCCTGCACCAAATCCGCCGCATCCACCGTCAAGGCGGCCACCTCGGGCCGAGTCCCGCCAATCACGGCCAGCATGATGTCCTGGAGGCCCAAGCTCGGCCAAGGCGTGGCCTGTGAAAGGCACTCATGCAGCATGATGGCCGCGCTGTAGATGTCGGCCGGGAAGAAAAGCTCCGGGTCCAGGGGAGCCTTGCGCCTGATGGCCACAATGACCTCCGGCGAGGCGTACCTCACAGACAGGGCATTCAGCTGGGGCATGGTGTCCAGCAGGGCCGAAGACCGGACGGTGCTCAGGTTTCGAGAGGTGCCCAAATCCCCGAGAGCCACCTGCCAAGAGCCAGCCGCCGAGGAGCCCTGGCTGACGAACACATTGGCCGGCTTCAGGTCGCAGTGGGCCACCCCGTGCGCGTGCATGGCCTCCAGCCCGGTGGCCCACTCGCGACAAATGTGCAGCAGCTCCAGCTGGCTCAGGGGCACGGCCGAAAGGAGCAGCGTGCGCAGGTCCGTATCGAAGCGCTCCATGACGATGGCCGGCGGCGCCTCGCTGTATCCATAAAGGCGCACGATGTTCCCATGCTGGCGCAAGGACCACATGAGGGCGATCTCATTGTGGAACATGGCCACATGTGTGGGCTTCATGGCGTCGGCCTTCATGCGCTTGATGGCCACCGTCTCCGGGCAGCCTAGCCGAGCGGAAATCCCGGCACCGATGGCCCGCGCGGCGAAGACGCTGGCCTGGGCCCCGGCCCCCATGGGCTGCTCAGCCACCGGCGCGAAGTCCGCATCCACACTGACCAGGATGGCCCCGGGTAGGGCCAGCTCCAGCAGGGTGTTCATCATGGTGGCATCCTCATCATGAAGGCCACCGTTGGCCGGCTTCATTGGCCGAGTGCCTCGCCGGCGCGCAAAGAACAGCCACAAGGCCGCCAGAAGGATGAGCAGCAGCAGCAGCAGCAGCAGACCCACAGACAGACCGATGGCCAGGCCGATGCGCGAATTGCCCGACCGCCCGGGAGACTTGCACCCTTCCACCCCGGGTCCGGTGCAGGACTCGGCGCAGCTTTCATGGCAGCGAACACAGCTGCCCAGCTGGCTGTCCATGTCGGCAAAGTACCCAGCCGGGCAGGCTTCCACACAGGCACCCCCATTGAGCAGGAGGAGACCCGCCATGCAGCGATCGCAAGTGCCAATGTCCGGGCAGACCGGTGACCCGTCCCCGGTGAGGGTGCACTCACCAGGATGACCTGGGGCCGTGTCGCACTGCTCGCATCCGGCCAGGCAGCTGACACACACGCCGCCCCTCGGAGCCGAGGCAGCCGGACAGGCAGGCACACACTTACCCTCTTGCGGCAGGAGAAGGCCCGAATGGCAGCCGGTGCAGAAGTCCCCCGAGCCGGAGCAGGTCTCACAGGTGTTGCCGCAGGACTGGCACACGGCCGACCCTGCGGCCGCAAACTCCCCCGCCGGACAGGCCTCGTGGCAATCCCCGGAAGAGAGGAAAAAGCCCGGGTCACATGCCATGCACAGTACTTGGCACTCATCACCGAATGAAAGGCACTCGGTGCAATTTTCCCTGCAAGCCAGGCACTGGCCTCGGGAGGCGCAAGAAACCCACCCACCCGGGCAGCCCGGGCCACATGTCCCCCCGGGCTGGAGCATATCCTGGCCCTTGCAGGCCGTGCAAATGGCACTGCTGATGCAGGCCGCGCAGGACTCGTCACATGCGTGGCACGCGCCGTCTTGCTTGAAGAACCCCGTCGGGCAGGTCGGCAAGCAGGTGCCCTGGTGCAGCACACGGCCCGCCGCGCAGCCAGTGCACTTGTCGGACCCGGCGTCGGAGCACGAGGCACATGCCTCGCTGCAGGGCAGGCATGTGTCGCCACTTCGGAATGTCCCCTCGGCGCAGGACCCCTGGCAGCGGTTGTCCATCTGCAGGAAGGTGCCCACGGGGCAGGTGACACAGTGGTTGTCATCCGGCCCGGAGCAAGTGCCACAGCTTCCATGACACGGGGCACAAATGCTACCCAGGAGGAAGGTGTCCCCCGGACAGGAAGCCACGCACTGCGACCCGGCCAGGAGCCACCCACGCTCGCACTGGGCACAGGCGCTCGATGCTTCGGGGCAGGCGGCGCAGTGGGCCGCACAGGCGGTGCATCCACCGGACAGGGCACCGTAGCCCACCGGACAGGCAGGCACACAGCGCATCGGCGACTGCCCAGCCGGTAGTGGGAGCAAGTCGCCCGGGCAGGCCGGCAGGCACTCGGTGCTCCGCACGCCGGAGCACTCGGCACACGACGCATGGCAAGATACACACCTCCCGGCCAGGGCCACATGCGACCCGGCACAGGACTGCACACAGTCGCCATCCTGAAGTATCCCATTCCGGCACTGCCAGCAATCCTGGTCCGAGGGACCATTGCAAGCGGCACAGGCCGCGTCGCACGGCAGGCAAGTCAGCCCGTCCGGGTCCCGGTACTGGCCTTCGTCGCAGCCGGAAACACATGCCCCGACGCCGGGGG